TATATATCTACCCCTACACATACATAACACACATATACAGATACTACATATACACATACATATACCCTGTTTCCCCCAAAATACAACCTACCCTGAAAGTAAGTCCTAGCTTGATTTTTATACACGGGCCCAATATAAGCCCTACCCCCCAAAATAAGCCCTAATTAAGATTCCACCCACTCCAGAGTGGATGGGTAAAAATTAAGCTAGGGTGGGGATTGGGGTGGTGGTGGAGCTGCCCTACTACTACTACTTTGGACAGTTGTCGCACACCCTGACACCTGCCTTACTGGCCCATTTCTTCTGCAGCCAGTAAGGTTGGCAAGGCTTTCCTGAAGGCCTCTGTAGCTGGTAACAAAGCTCCAGATCGATCTAGAGCTCTGTTACTGGCTGCAGAGGCCTTCAGGAAAGCCTTGCCAGCTGCAGAAGAAGTTCTTGAAGGCCTCTGACAGTGAGAAGGAGGCCGGGGACGATGCGCACAAGTGAGGGTAGTTAGTGGATGACATCCCCCCAAAATAAGACCTGGTGACTTTTTTGGTGGCAAAATATATATATATATATATATAAGACAGGGTCTTATTTTGGGAGAAACAGGGCACATATATCTACACCCAAACATATATATGCATATATTATTAATCATTGTCCATTTTGGACACTGTCCATTGTCCAGAGCAGAAAAAAGAAACTTGAGCGTTCCCAAGGTTGATGCTACATGGAACAAAACTGTGATTGAATCTGGGTTTTCTGCTTCGGACATCACGAAGCCGCGTTCCAGAAGCTAACAAGGAAAATAGGTCGTGAACAGGATGTGTAACATTCCAGACAATCCTGCAGACAGAAGGTTGGAAAAGGCGATCACATGACACCGGAACACTACATCTATCATAAACAGGAGTCAGTTGCCAAGTGTCTGAATGTGATAGAAACCAACATTCCCTCAAAATTGTGGGCAAAACCAGTACTCCTTTGTGACATATTTACTACTGCGATTTTGGCAGAAAAGCATGGACATCTGTTCCTAAATGTGGTCCTTCCAAAGTGATGAAATATGCATCATTGTTTGATGATGCAAGCTCCAACCTTTGATTCTTGCATAACGATGTTGCATACAAGCGTTTTACGCTGTACCATTACATGCCCCAGAAGTACATTCTTTTCTTAGAAGAACTGCAGAAATGTTGTTGAAATGCTTGACTGGGTTTTGCATGTGAAATATTAGTACTGCCTTTATAAAGCCTTGGTAAGATGACACTTAGAATATTGCATCCAATTTTGGTTATGATACTATAAAAAAGATGTAGGGACTTTGGAAAGAGAGCAGAGTTGCGTGTTGAGTCCCTTACTCTATACTCTTTATGTGAATGACTGCATTCCCACTCATGCTAGTAATACTATTGCTAAATTTGCAGATGATATAACAGCGGGGGGGACTCATCTCCGTGGGGATGAGTCTGCCTACTGAGATGCGGTAGACCGGTTGCTTTTGTGGTTTGCAGACAATAACTTGGTCCTCAATACCAATAAGACCAAGGACCGAGTGGAGCAAGTGGGCAGTTTTAAGTTTCTGGGTGTTACCCTAAAAGAGGACCTGACCTGGGGTGCTCACATTGAAGCCCTGGTCAAAAGGGCCCAGCAGAAATTATACTACCTGAGACTTCTCAGGAAACAACAACTGGATGAAAAACTGCTGGTGACCTTCTACCGCTGCACCAGAGAGAGTATCTTAATTTATTGCACCTCTGTATGGTTTGCCAATTGCACAGGGGCAGATAGGAAAGCGCTCCAGAGGGTTAATTCATTGCCCAGAAGATCATGGGTTGCCCTCTCCCCTCTTTGGAAGAGCTTTATAGCTCCCGCAGCCTTAAGAAAGTTCAAAACATTCTCAAAGATCCATCTCATCCTGGGCACCCTTTTTTTGAACTATTACCATCTGGCAGACGGTGCAGAATAATAAAAACAAGGACAAATAGGCTGAAAAACAGCTTCTATCCCAGGGCAGTAGCTCTTTTGAATCCTGCTATGTAATGCAGTGTTGATGTGGTGTCGGGTTTTCAGTTCATTGTGTGGAGTGTGAAGGATGTGTGTTTGTGTTTATTTTCATGATCATGATGTGCACTGAAGATGGTGTTTGATTGAGGTGCAGTGACAATAAAGTAAACTAAAATAAACAGAGAAGAACAACAACGATGATTGGGGATGATTAGGGGATGATTTGGTAAGTCTAGTCTAGAGAAAAGAAGGACTACAGGAGACATGATGGCAGTCATCCAATATTTGAGGGGTTGCCACAAAGAAGAGGTAGTCAAACTATTCTCCAAAGCACCAGAAGGCAGGACAAGAAGCAATGGATGGAAATTAATCAAGGAGAGAAGTGACTTGGAACTTCCTAACAGTGAGGACAATTAACCAGTGAAACGACCTTCAGAAATTGTAGTTGCTCATCTCTGGAGGCTTTTAAGAAGAGACTGGACAGTCATTTGTCTATAATGGCATAGGGTCTCCTGTTTGAGCAGGGGGTTGGACTAGAAGACCTCCAAGGTCCCTTCCAATCAGTGGTGGGATTCAGCCAGTTCGTACCAGTTCAGTAGAACCGGTTGTTAACTTTCTGAGCAGCTTGGTGAACTGATTATTGTAAGAAATCATTAGGGCAGAGAACCGGTTGTTAAATTATTTGAATCCCACCACTGCTTCCAAATCTGTTATTCTGTTATCTGTCTTCTAATATACCCTGCTTGTAATGTAATAAACGTAGAACCCAATTTGGCCGTCTTTAATGTCTTTTAGACTCTTGTGCTTTCGATGGAGAAATAATCCCGAACAAGAAGGAATGGCAGCTGAGCCCGTGTGCCAAATGCATCTGTCGGGATGGCTCTCTGCAGTGTTCCACCGTCTTTTGTCCACCTGCATTCTGTAATGCGGTAAGATTATGCATGCCGTCAACTTCTTTGCATTTCATTACTTTTAAAAACTGTAATTAGACGAGGCATCCTCTCGTGAGAAACTGCTGCCTGACAATTTTCTATACTGAAAATATAAATGAAAACAGGCTTACAGACCGGGCCCTATTTTACGTTTCTTAGAAGAAACGTAATTACAGCTATGGAGAGGTGCAATAAAATGAAAGAACTGGGCTCCCCTCTTCTGCTTGGCCAGAGAATTCTTCCGTTTGACTAGCTGCGTTCCCTTGCTCTGATACGGCTTGATGACATCATCAGGAAGCGCACCTGCTCAGTTGCATCCCCATAGAAATAGGGTTTTGTGGCTTGTGTGATCCTGGGCAATTGACTAATTTGAGCTTTCTTTCTTGCCTGTAATGGTCATACATTCCAGACATCACTTCCAGCTCCTCCTGTTCCTCCTCCTCTTCCCCTTCTTTTTCTTCTTCCCGTTTTCTGCCCCACTTCCCCTTCTCCTCTTCCTCCTCCCTCCCTTGTCCCCCTCTACTGCTTCCCTTCCTATCCCGTTCCCCTCCTTTTCCTCCTCCTCTTCTCCCATTCTCCCTTTCCACCTCTCCTCCCCTCCCCTTCTCCTCTTTTTCCTCCTCCCTTCCTCCTCCTCCACTCGTTTGTCCCCCTTCCCCTCCCCTCTCCTCCCTGTCCCCCCATTTCTCCTCCATCTCCTCCTCCTCTTCCTCCTTCCCTTCTCCTCTCATGTTTCTGGAGCCGTAGACTTTTACAATACTTTGAGAAAAAGTATGAGCTGTGCTGAATTTTCGAGAAGTAAGGATGGGAAGTATTTTTACCTGGCTACTATTGCTTCTCTCAAATATTGAAAGCAGTTAGAGAGAGAATACCTTTATTGTCATTGCATTCCATGAATACAATGAAATTTGAAAGCTACTCCAGCACAGTACCCCAAACACCACATCACAATCACACTATAGAGTATTTAAAATAACAACAACAACAACAATAATAATAACAACAGCAACAACAAGAACAAAAACCTAGGCTAAAACTATCTAAAACATTTAGTAAGTTAAATAGTTTAATAATGCCACTATATACATAGGACTAAATCACAAATGCACTGTTTGATTCAAGTCAATTATTGCCTTGGAAAAGAAACTGTTTCTCGGTCTATTAGTCCTCATTTTAAGACACCTATAACGTTTCCCTGATGGTAACAGTTCAAAATATGAATGACCAGGATGAGAACGGTCTGTGGAGATTTTTAGTATTCTAGAGAGAAGTCTGGTCTTCGCAATCTCTTCCAAAGAAGAAAGAGAGCAACCAATGATTTTTTGTGCTGTGTTTATAACTCTCTGGAGCATCTTCTTATCCACTACAGAGCATCCAGCATACCACACCGTTACACAGTATGCCAAAATGCTCTCGATGGTAGAATGGTAAAAAGTAACTAGCAACTTCTCACCTAGACCACTCTTTTTCAGCAGTCTCAGAAAGTGTTGGGCCTTCTTTGCAGTGGCCGTAGTGTGGACCGACCAAGTAAGGTTGTCAGAAATATGAGTTCCTAGAAATTTAAAACTATGAACTCTTTCCACACAGTCTCCATGGATATATAGTGGGAGAGGCTCTGCTTTGCATCTTCTGAAGTCTATAATCAATTATTTGGTCTTATGTTGCATCTTGATTGATTATGAGCCACCAAGTTGAGGTCAGCTTTTAGGTCCCACTTAACGAGGTAAATTTTCTTTATGAGAATTTGTCCCTAAACTTTCATCCCAACCTCCTACCTGTTGGGTTTCCTCTTCTTGCCTTTCCTACCATTGTTCCAGCATTAGGCCCTTCTCCAGAAAATCTTAAGCCCACACAGAATACCAGCAATCTATAAATACAGGTAGTCCTCGACTTACAACTGAGCCCAACATTTCTGTTGCGACGTTAAACATTTGTTAAGTGAGTTTTGCCCCATTTTTATGACCTTTCTTGCCTAGTTGTTAAATAAATCACTGCAGTTGTTAAGGGCGTAATAGGTTGTTAAGTGAATCTGGTTTCCCCATGGACTTTGCTTCTTAGAAGGTCGCAAAATGCAAAAAATTACATCCCAGAGTTTTAAAGGAGCTGGCAGAGGTATTCTCAGAACCACTGCACCATATCTTTCAAAAATCCTGGCACCCCGGAGAACTACCAGAGGACTGGAAAAGAGCTGATGTAGTTCCCGTCTTCAAAAAAAAGGGGGAAAAAAAAAACAGACCCAGGAAACTATAGACCAATCAGCCTAACATCAATACCCGGGAAGATACTGGAAAAGATAATAAAAAAACAGATCTGCCAACATCTAGAAACAAGTAAAGTAATAACTAGCAGTCAGCACGGGTTTGTTAAGAACAGATCATGCCAAACCAATCTTATTTCATTCTTCAACATAGTGACTAAATTAGTAGACCAGCAAAATACTGTGGACATAATATATTTAGATTTCAGCAAGGCATTTGACAAAGTAGACCACAACCTACTTTATGGTAAGCTAGAAAAAAGTGGGATAGATAGCACCACCACTAGATGGACTCGCAACTGGCTGACAAACCGTACTCAACGAGTAGTCCTAAATGTATCTAAGTTTACATGGAGGGAAGTAAGCAACTGGGTGCCACAAGGTTCCGTCTTAGGCCCGGTACTCTTCAATATCTTCATTGACAACTCAGATGAGGGAATAATAGAACGGGAACTTACCAAATTTGCAGATGATACTAAGCTGGCAGGAATAGCTAACACCCAAGATAATAGGCTCAAGATCCAAATGGACTGTATCTAACAAAATGAAATTCAATGTAGAGAAAAGTAAAGTCCTACACTTAGACAAAACCCCCTGAAAGTATACATATAGACTGGGTGAAACCAGGCTTAATAGCAGTAACTGTGAGAGGGATCTTGGAATCTTAGTGGACAACCAGCTAAATATGAGCCAGCAGTGTGCAGCAGCAGCCAAAAAAGCTAATGCAATCCTAAGTTGCATTATCAGAGGGATACAATCAAGATCAAATGAGGTACTAATACCACTCTATAAAACCTTAGTAAGGCCACACCTAGAGTACTGCATCCAGTTTTGGTCACTACACTATAAAATGATGTTGAGACTCTACAAAAAGTACAGAGAAGAGCAACCAGGATGATTAGGGGACTGAAGACTAAAACATGTGAAGAACGGTTGCAGGAACTGGGCCTGGCTAGTCTAGTGAAGAGAAGTTCCATGGGAGACATCATAACAGTCTTCCAATATTTGAGGGGCTGCCACAGAGGAAGGGGGTCAAGCTAATTTCCAAAGCACCTGAGGGCAGGACAAGAAGCAAAGGATGGAAACTGATCAGGGAGAGATTTAACCTGTAAATAAGGAGGAATTTTCTGACAGTGAGAACTATCAACCGATGGGATAGAAGTTGCCCTCAGAAGTTGTGGGAACTTCATCACTGGAAGCTTTCAAGAAGAGACGGGACTGCCACCTGTCAGAAATGGTGTGGGGTCTCCTGCTTGGGCAGGGGGGGTTGAACTAGATGAGCTACAAGGTCCCTTCTAACTCTGTTAATCTGTTATCTGTTAAACGGAATCTCATGACCCCAAAGCAGTGCAACCGTCATAAATATGAGTCAGTTGCCAAGCATTTGAATTTTGATCAGGTGTCCATGGGGATATTACAGTGGTTGTAAGTGTGAAAAATGGTCATGTCCCTTTTTTACTGCCATTGTAACTTCGGACCATCACTAAATAGACTGTTATAAGTCAAGGACTACTTGTATAATCACCCGAGGACCTTTGACTGTAAAAGTCCCCAATTAATGGACCTCAGAAGTATCTGATAATTACATTTCCAAACGAATCGTTTCAGTCTGTTATATCCAAAGTAGTCCAGACAATTATCTTAATGTACCTTCTTTTGCATATTCATGTTACACACATTTAACTCATGTAAAGGACATGGCACTGTTTATGCCGCTTGTACCAACTGTATCATGAAATTGTGATGCAAATGAGGTAAAAATAAGGTAAATTAACACAAATGACATAAATTTGGATTTAACGGACCTTTGGGAAAACAAGACATCCTCCCACTAATGGTCCATTAAATCAAGGCTTTACTGCAGCCTTAATTTGCTCTTAGCACATAATTGCATTTTAATGAATTGCCAAGTGTTTATAAGTCACTCTGCTTGTAATCAGTGACCAAATTGCTAGATTCTGTTATTTCAATAAAATATTGATGCTGCGTTTCCCTTTTCTCCCTTCCCAGTTAAGTTAAATATTGATGTCCTTTTTTGCTTTACCTCTTAATTAAGTAAGAGAGTTAAAGCTTTATCACATGTAATGTGTGTGTGTGTGTCTAGTAGGCTTTAAATATTTAGGGCAAGTAGTTATGAACCGAGAATAGAACATACGTCTTATTTGACATTGTAACGTATTTAGGAATACCGTGTCCTCGCAAATAAAGAGAGTGAGCCTCTTTTGTTCTAACTCTTATCATGGACAGAAGTTGTTCCATCATTCATTGTGGAGTAGAGCTGGGGAATCACTAGAAAAACCTACCTCTGTAGGAGAAAGACAGACAGAGCCTGAAGGTGGGGTCAAGAGAGGAATCAGCCTAGAATCGCTAATGTACTCACAAGCTCTCTTGAATTCTGTTAGCTCTTATCTAGTGCTCTCTTCCATCTGCCATTCCCTCTCTCACAGCCACCCATTTCTAAAGCCACACCATTCTTTTACTATTAAACAAGTGTCTTGTCTTATTGGCTTTCCTTTTATTCCACATTTAAGAGGAATGCCTCTCCCTAAATCGGTGACTAGTCATTTGGGTTACTAGGAGGAACATGGTGCTTAGCAGCAGGAGGCCAAACAACACGGACCATCAACTTCAGCAGTAAACAATTTCTCTCTTGCGGTGGTCTCCCTTCACTCTTCCATCCTGAATTTAAAGAGCCAGCAGGAGTCACAATACAAATACCTTCTTCATGAGTGTGTGTGTG